TTATATTATATTTTGTTGTTCTTTTTTTTTGAGACAGAGTCTTACTATTAGTTCATTAGTTCATGCTGGCCTTGAACTCACTGTATAGTGAGTGCTAGGATTTCAATGGTATGTATATGTTCTGTTTCTTAAATTGATTTTCATTGTTTTATAAGTTATTTAAAATTAATGCATCTTGAATATTTTTCTGAGTAGTCATGTTTCATTATAATGATCAATCAATGCCTAAATTAGTATTCAGTGATGTAGATATTTTAGTTATCTTGACATGTCATGTTTTTACATGCCAGGCAAGTGCTTTACCACTGAGCTATACCTCCAGCCCATGTCCAATATTTTTGGACACATAGGTTGCTTCTAATTTTTCTTTCATGGTCCTGAGGAGACCTCTTTCCCATCCAGAGGCATGGAAGTGCTTGTGTGCCTTATTCTAGGTCTTTGGAGTTTTTTTAATACAGACTTAATTGTGGCAAACTTAAGTTTGGCCAAAGCCACCTGTTTTCTTTAGGAAAGCTCTGCTGGTGGAGATAAGTACTTGGACTGGAGGTAGAGAGAATGAGGGAAGGAGACACAGCCCCCCGACCCCGAGGGGTACAGGATGCAAGGATGAGGTGGTGAGGACTGATTCCAGAGATCCCGTGGGAAAGCTTGAAACAGGTTGACAGAGCTCCCAGAACTGGGTCACAAACCGAAATCCTGATACCATTATAACCCCTTATACATCTTGTGGTGGATGCCACCCATCACTGAGCAGCTGCAGTGTTTTTGGGTTCTGGGGTAGATGAATGATGACACCCCATTTCAAGATTGCCCATTTGTGTGGAACTGGTTGAGAAAGAGTGGCATAACGCATCATTGCAAGAGATGGGGCAGCCTTAGGCTTGGTGTTCACCAAAGAGATTGCCCTCCTACAGAGTGATGGTTAGTCTTACAGCAGGAGACTCCAGACTGGGGAGCTCAGGTAGGCTGCAGAATGAAGTGCTATAGAGTTACAAGGGGTCTGAATTGCTTTGCTAAGTTCAGGAGTCAGCTTCCTGTTCCTATAATGAAATACTGAGATAATTGACTGATAAAGAGAAAAGAGCCAAAGCGGTATAATTCCAACTGTTTGGGAGGATGGGGCAGGAGGGTCACAAGTTTGAGTACAGTCTGGACAACTTAGGAACCACTGTCTTAAAAAATATAAAGGGCTGGGGTGTGGCTCAGTGGTAGGTACCCCTGGGTTCTGTCTCCAGTACTGGGAAAGAGAATAAAGATTTCCTTTGACTCTCAGTTTTGGATGATCCAGTGTATGACCATTGTCTCAGTTCTTTCAGGCCTGTAGTGAGGCACCATGTCATGGTTGAGCACATGGTAGAACTTCCGACTCATATCACAAGCCTAGGGTCAGAGAGAGGTCCCCTTTCAGAGCTTGCTGCAGTGGTGTGAGGACCTCCCACAAAGCCCTACCTCCCAAAGACCACAGCTCCTCTCATGGTGCCATCCTGTGGGCCAAGTCCCAGCCCTGGGCCCTAGGAGACAGTCATTATCCAAACTGTCATACTGCTATCTCTACAGCCAGGGCTATCAAGCTTCCTTAGTAGAGCAGGGGGATTGAGGAAGGAGTCGGACAGCAGGAGAGTAGAGCTAAGGAAGACAGAAAACTGCCATTCTGAAATCTTGCCTGCTTCCTCATCATTGTGTTTGTGCTTGTGTGAGTTCTCATGCATTGTATTGCCTGTCCCACAGCTGCAGTATGGCGACAGCAAAGAGAACCCTCTCAAGTACTGGCTCTATAAAGAAGGGGAGAGAAGACACAGGAAGAAACATCGAGAAAAAAACAGCACCAGGGAAAAAAGAGAAAAGTATTCCAAAGAGAAGAATAGCTTGTTCTCTGATAAAGAAGGGGAAGAAAGACATCGAGAGATACGACATAAAGAAGGCTTTCATGTCGATGAGAGGCACCGAAGCAGTGCAGAGAGAAAAGAGAGGTCATCGAAGGAAGAATACAGGAAAAGGGAGCCCGAGGTATCATGTTGATGCTTTATTGATTTAACAGCCACTCCTTGATCATCTCATTGGAAAGTGCACAGTGTAGATGTAGCCAGGGTAACAGAAAGACTCATACCTGGTGGCAGCATTGAGGTGCAAGTGACACACGTCTATACTGTGTAGTCAGTAGAGGGAGTTGGTGGTCTTTTAATGAATAGAACTCAGCTCCTTTGGTTATATTATGAATGTACCTTTGGTTTTGTTTGCTTGCTTTATTGGTGCCCATACTGGGGATTGGACCCCTTCAAGGGCATACCCTCAGCCCTTTTTATTTTTTGTTTTAAGATAGGGTCTTTTTAAATTGCCAAGTTGCCCAGGCTGGGCTCGAACTTGTGATTCTCTTGCCTCTGCCTCTGAGATTATAGGCATGCATCTCCATGCCTAACTTGTGAATAATATACTTCTAACAGAGATTTGGAAATATATCATAAAATTTTGAAATTTAACATTTAAAATGAAGCTTAAAAAAGTTCGTCTTATTATATAGTTTAGTCTGAACTTGAACTCACTGTGTAGCCAGGCTGGCCCCAAACTCATGGTGATACCCCTGCTTCAGCTTCTTGAGCACTGGGATTATAGACATGCACCAACATCCTCTGTGGAAGCTGATATTTAAAAGTAGAAATTAAGCAAATAACTTATGAAATAATGACTTTCTGCCAGGGTTGATAGTATAAGTTTACAAAAACACAAACAAAACAAATAAAAATATAAATCTGTTGGATTGCAAAGGATCTAATGTATGTGACTTTGTCTCTATAATATTTTCTTGGACTCAACTTGATATCTTTTGTTCTCACATAGGTACTCCTTGCTGCTGTATTTTTATTTACTCTACAGATAATGTGGTTTTATCAGTCTGTTTCTTTTTTTTTTGTACCGGGGATTGAACTCGGGTCCTTGAGCTTGCAAGGCAGGCCACCCAACCGCTGAGCTAAATCCCCAGCCCTATCAACCTGTTTCTTGATGGTGCTTTCTTAAAGAGGAATCAGTCTTCCCAGGATGGTGGGGGTGCCAGGGGATCCAAACCTTCAGGGAGGACATAGTCTTGGCCCAAGCCAGGCTTAGGGTCCAGAGTGCCTATGAAGGTGTCATGTGTTTATGGTTTCCATGAGAATGGCCTGTGGCAGGGAAGGGCTACTGCCCTTGGCACTGTCATGGTTGTAAATCAGAGTCCCACAGCGACATGACCCTTGTTCTCCTCACAGCTCTGCTGGCCCCCTCTCTTACCTAACAGATCATAGCCCTTCTTTTAGGTCAGAACAGTCATGTTTCTCAGCAGTTATAAGGCATTACCATGTTTTTATTTTTTGGTGGGTGGGACACTGGGGATTGAACTCAGGGCCTTGCTCATGCTGGGCAAGTGCTCTACTACTGAGCCACATCCCCAGCTGTTGCAGGCTGAGGCAGAATGATCACTGTGAATTTGAGGCCTGGTGTGTTAGTTACTTTTTTCTCATTGCTGAGACAAAATACTGGATACCCAAAGTTGAAGGGGAAAAGGTCTATTTGGTTCATAGAGGTTTCAGTCCATAATCGGCTGGCTCCAAGATAGGTGTCAGAGGGGCATTAGTTCATAGCAGTGGAAGAAGCATAAACAAGAGATCTGGGAAATGTGGGAGGGGCATCACAGAGGAGAAACTTTCGTATTCAGACTACTGGGGATTAGGGTGGTATCAAACCAGTCACTCATGTGTAGTGTTTTACTAATCACATTCCCTTAATCCTAGCATCACACATTCTAGATTCAACCACCTCAGAAAAAGCCCCACTTACAACTGCATGAGGTTTTAGGGGGACATCAAGACACAAACCATAACACTTGGGCTACATAGTGGGTTGAAGGCCAGCCTGAATGATGTAGTGAGACCCTGTTTCAAAACAAAGAAACAAAAATCAAAATTAAGAATTTTTGGGCCAGGGATTTAGCTCAGTGGCACCATACCTGCCTCACAACCACAAGGTCCTGAGTTTGATCCCTGGTACCACAAAAAAAAAAAAAAAAAAAAAAAAAAAAAATTAAGAATTTTAAGCACTTAATGTTCACCCTGAGCATCACTCAGACAGCACATTTGTTATGTACTGACTCCCAAGCATTGCTCAGGCAGGTGTCATTTCAACCAGCTGATTCTTTTATTGAATACATTTAATAAAATTGTTTTCATATTTCCTGTTATATTATCTTATAAAAATTAATAAAAACATATGTAATTTTTAGTCACTCTGTATTTAAATAATTGTATGTAGTTAAGAAATTGCTGGGCATACAGCTCAGTGTAAAGATCCTGGGTTCAGTCCCGAGGTACCCCAGGCCCTAATGAATGCAGTGAAGCTGTCTGTGCTTCTCATGGAGCAGGCAAGGTTTGTGTCCTCATGGGTCATTGCCCCTCAGGCCACAGGCTAGCACATACTCTGTGTCTCCACCTGTGTGTGCTCATTTGTAATCTCATAGCTTTACAATTCACTTGATTCAAGAAAAGACCATTTATATATTTTTCTGTAGGTGCACATGGTTCTGTGGAGTAGCTATATTTTGTATTTGAAAATTCATAATTTTAAGAAATGTGAGGAACTTGTCAGATCTATCAGTAAAATAACATGTTGCTTATGTGAAAAAATGAGTGATTATAATACTGAGGTAATTTATAATCATCATTTACAATATTTCATTCAGTTTACTCATATTAGTTACTAATTTACTATAAATAAGTAGTAAATAATTATTAAAACTATACTTGTATGGTATTTTAAAATTTGAGCCCATGTCTGTTTTATATAGTTTATTAATTATACTTAATTTGTATAACATACAACTTAGTGGTTATGCAATTCTTTTTCTCTTTTATAGAGTGGTGAACACAGAAACCAAGGTGCACACTTGAGAAGAGATGGTACTGGCAGCCAGTAAGGAAAACACATTCTATTGACCATTAAGGCGAACACAGTTCTCACAAAATGCTTTACAAATGAGCTTTTCTTGGGGATTTAGCTCAGTAGCACTGCATCTGCCCGCAAGCCTCGCAAGCACAAAAAAAAAAAAAAAAAAAAAAAAAGAGCTTTTCTTATTAGGCCTAATTATAGCCAATAAATGGAAATAAATTATAGTTATACTTCAATTTTTCTGGATTTAACCCCTCTAAATTATCCTTTTTTTTTTAAATACCAGGGATTGAATTCAGGTCCTTGTGCTTGCAAGGCAGGCGGTAGAAACACTGAGCTAAATCCCCAGCATCCTTTAAGTATACTAGTAGAGATTGAAAACTTCCTGTCTTAGTTACTTTTTAGTTGCTGGGGCAAAATATCTGACACTCAGAAGTTAAAGGAAGAAAGGTTTATTTTAGCTCACAGTTTGTAGAAGCTTCAGTCCATGATCAGCTGGTTCTAAGGTAGTACAGTATGGCAGAGGGGCTTCATAGAGAAGAAACAGTCCATGACAGGTAGGTAGGAAGCAGCAGTGCCTTCCTTCTTTCCCTTTGTATTCCATCCAGGCTACAAGCCTATTGGTTGGTGTCACCCACAGCCAGGAAGGGTCTTCCCTTTTTAGTAAATCCATCACCCACATTCAAAACTACGCTAAACCAGTCAGTGGACTAATCCAGTATCACACACCCATGATCCACTATCACATACTCATGACCCAGTTACTTCCAAAAGCCACACTTAGGAGCACATAAGCTTTTGGGGGGAAATCTAGGTATAAGCTCTATCACTTGTTATAAATTATTTTAAACATTTGCTCATGTGAATTTAGAGACCCAGGATGCACTTTGGAGAGAATAATTCATTAGACTGTCTCTTCCTCTTTGTAAAGCTTCAGCAGCTGCAGTGAGTTCACACCCTCCTGTAGGTGCCAGCAAATGTGAGGTGCCCACAAACCTCCACTGTCCAGCATTTGCAGGTTGTGAACTCCAGAGAAAGAACTCGAAGCCTCACATAGCTTTCGGCACAGTGGAAACAGGTGCTACCAACCTGGGCTGGATTTCACATCTGCCTTTCAGTTGTGACATTAAGTGGCCTCTCAGTAAAATAATGATGCCAACACTTATTTTTAAAGATTACATAGTAAATGCTGCCTGCCTCACAAGCGCAAGGCCCTGACTTCAATCCCCAGTACAAACAAACAAACAAAAAGATTACATATTAAAGTTGTGTATAAATTCATTTTTCATATAAGCCCAAGAGTTTATTTTAGTTCTGCAGTGCTGGGGATAGAAGCCAAGTTCACTACTACTGAGTCACATCCCCGGCCCAAGCCCTATAGTTTAGTTTGTTATGACACCTGTATTTTATAATTGCTATTCACACTTTAGGGAAATTCACATTAAAGGTCTTTCCCAAATGTTTACCAGTATGAACAAAGCCAAGGCTTATATCTAGGGAGCCAATTTCTAGATTGTAAGCTGCAAACCTGCTAATATGAACAGACAGCTTTGCTTTTTTTGTATCTGGTGACAAGTGTGTTTCACTGGAGTGCTATGAATGTAAGTTGTAAAAATTGAGAATCAGGGCCAGGGATTTAGCTCAGTGGTTCTGCTGCTTGCCTTGCAAGTAAAAGGTCCTGAGTTCAATCCCTGGTTTAAAAAAAATTGATAATCAATTTGAAATATGAAAATCTTTATTTGTGTCCCAACTAATATATAAAATATGATTAAAGATAGAAAATACTGGGCTGGGGATTTAGCTCAGTGGTTCTGCCACCTGCCTTACAAGCACAAGGACCCGAGTTCGATCTCCAGTACCCCCCCAAAAAAGAAAATACTTTAGCATAAATATTTATTTTGGAAATGTGAATATCTTATATTAAATATAAAATAGTATTCAGGATTAACTAAAATTAGAAAATTTTTAGAATCCTTAAAGAATATAGATTTGTACACAGAAAGGTTTGTGAAAACACATATGTTCTTCTTTCTTTGAATTAATTAACCTTTTATTAAGTGTATATTTATAGTACATGATGGTTACAGTCATCATGGGGAGTTGGAATATGTTCTTTTTTTCTACTAAAGATACTTTCTGTCTTGAATTACTGCTAAGTAAAAATACTTCAGCATTCACAGTTGTATGAAAACATGATTTTCTAGCCTACAGCAGTTCTTTTTTTTTCTTCCTGATACTGGGGATCAAACTCAGGACCTTGGGCTTTCAAAGCAGATGGCAGAACTACTGAACTAAATCCTCAGTCCCAGTAATTCTTCATCATAGCAAAATACTGATAAGAGCCTTGATGTTTTATTTTTTGAAAATTAAATTTTAATTTTGATCACATTTGCTTTCCAGGCATGCAGAGAACTTAGTACGAAGTAATGGGAAAGGTAAAGATTCAAGAAGGAAGGTAAGGCAACATGCTCTGGGACCAGGCTGACTACTTGCTATACCTAAGAGTGGCCATGTGCCTGTGCCTGGTCTTTTGACAGCAGAGCCTGGGACCAGCATTTGCCAGTGGCTCATTTGATTGGGGATACCCAGAGGCACACTAGAGACTCACTTAAGATTAGGAGACTCAAATGGATTGGAAATAAAAAGATAGCAAAGATGCAACCATAAGGGGGCTGGAGTGGTTGTCCTAACATCAAATGAGTTAGAGGCAGGAAGTGTTGCTAGAGACAGACATCCCATAATGACCAAATAGCACAGCAGAAAATGTAGCACTTTAAATGAATATGTACCCAACAAGAGATCCAACATACTAGAAGAAAAATTGACAGAATTAAAGGGAAAAATAGGCAATTCACAATAATAGACTTTAGCATCCCGTTTAAACTGTGGATAGAATACCTTTTTTTTTGCTAACAGCAGTTTGTACAAGTTAGATGAAAAGGACAAATTCCTAGACATAAATTACCAAAACTCCTTCAGGAAAAAACAGTTTGAATAGACCTATAATGAGCAAAGAAATCATGTTAGTGCTAAAAATCTTCCCACCAAGAAGCTGAGAAGGCTCCTGTGGCACACTCTGCCAAACACTCTATGTTGTACTAATGTGACTTGCAGTCCCTCTCCTCTCTTCACACACCTGCTTTCATGTTTAAACACCTTAAGTTGGAGTCGTACTGTGTGCTGCTCTCTTCACTTAGTATATCAGCATTTCTCCATGGTCTCCATTTTTAAAATACCATTTCATAATTATAAGAACAATCTTCAGAATGATTATTTAATAACTATGAAATAGTATGCTGTGGAGTTATGATTAACCTCAAACTATTTTTCTAGGTTTTGGTTTTGTTACTACCAAATGTGGCACGCATACTTTGCCTTCTTTTCAGAATTTTTTTTTGGTACCAGGGACTGAACTCTGGACCTTGCACTTGTGAGGCAGGTGGTGGCATCACTGAGCTAAACCTCCAGCCCTAATTTGGCTTTTTTAAAATTAATTTTGAAGAATAATTTCTCTTTATGTGATTTTGTATTGGAACTCCTGACCTTGTAGCAATTTTGTGCTGTATTTCTGCATGTCTTGTGTCCTGTGTATCTGCACAGAGCAGGTGGTTGCACAGAAGTGGGTTGGGAAGCCTATGCTTCATTCACCTGGTGTGGGGCAGGAAGGTCGACTCCTTCTCTATAGCCACACCCTCACCTCAGAAAGTGACCTGTTTTCGGGCCAGGGATTTAGCTTAGTGACACTGTGCCCTGCCTTACAAGAGCAAGGTCCCAGTACAAAAAAAAAAAAAAAATGAGACCTGTTATTTCTTTTGCTATAATCTTTTATGATCATATATCCATATATATATTTGGGAATTAGTTTGTTTTATGCACAAACTATACAGTGTTGCTTTCCCACTTCATTGTGGACATCTCTCAATTTCAGATAATCCAGATCTGCCTTATTTTTCTTGTGGGTAAATTTTTTGAAGTAGAATTGTGGAATTATTGGATGAAGGGATATAATTTTTTTTTCCTATTTTCATGTCTCCCAATTTTTTCTGTAAGCTTTAGACTGGAATTATTTACTAGAATTATAATGTGAGCCACATTCATAATTTAAACTATTCCAGATGTTACACTAATAAAGTAAAAAGCATGACATTAATTTTAATAACGTTTATAATCTAAATATAAAACAGTATCCTTTAAATATATAATCCATATTAAAATTATCTAGATATTTTAATACTTTTTTCCCAGAAGAGTGAAATACATTTCTCCCAAGACAGCATCTGGGGGGAACTTTGGTCTCTAGCTGTTTGTGGTCAGGTTGTGATTAGGTCCTGTATTTTATAGCATCAGCATAGAATTTATCTTGTTTGGTTGGTTAGCACATGTGGAGAGTATACTCTATGCCTTGGTATTTTTTGGGTCTGTGGAGAATTCTGCTTTCCTCATGAAGTGTACACTGTGCTGCCATCAGTTTATACCTCTAAGAGTTTTGGGTAGTGATTCCTCAGTATCAGACCTTCCCAGTGCCAGTGACAACAGTAGGTGCTGCTTCCCAGCACTTTATGTGCGTTATTTTATCCAGTCCTCTCACTGGCACTATGAAGTAGGCACAGTGATTTTCATTTTCCAAAGAAGATAGCCAAGGCACAGAGAGGTTTAGTCACTTGCCCTGAGTCACACAGTTCCCAGTAACAGAGTGAGGCCCCAAACCCTGAATTTCACAGCCTGTACTCCTAATGTTGAGGGACAGCACCTTAGGGGAGGAGAGGGGATGGCTCCTGTGGTCCTGGGGTCTCCCTCATGCTTGGGCTGACTACGGCTGTCCTCTGTCTTCCAGCACAGCCGTGAGGAGGGCCAGGTTTCAGGGAAGTCAGCTCTGAGGCAGAATGCTGAAGAAGCTGTGGTAAGGAGCACCTGCTTGTCTTTTCACTTGTTTGCAGTCCCACAGCCTTTGCCTTATTTGTGGTTTTACTGATAATATTATTCCTTTTAGATGGCAGAACAGATATGCAGGGGTAGATGAAACTTTAACATAAATTTTGCACCTATTTGAATATCCTCTTTGTGTTGAAGCTGCACCTGGTTGTGGGTGGGAGGAAGTGTGGATCTGGGTACAGACTTGAAGGTGTAACCCATGTTTTCCCAAAAGTAAGACCTAATCAGATCAGAAACTTCAGCTATGATTATAGCTGGTCATTACCTGTGTGGTGGCCAGTGTCATGCAGAAGACTATACCTCACTGTTTTCTCACTCAGTCGCTGCTCTGTAATGGCAGATAAGGCAAGAATAGTTTTATTGGAGATTACACTTTTGATCTCTAGTTAGGTCTTATTTTCGAAGACACAGGAGATGGGTGCCAGGCCTCTGCTGTGCTAGGAGGTTCCTGTGGTACAGAAAGCCTTCTCAGCTCTGAGTGGCATCTGAATTCAGGGAAGGTAGGTGATTTGAGGAGGCTAAATAGAGTAATTGCAAGCCACACACTTCAGGCTGTTGATGGTGAGTAGATAATAATTTTCAGAAATCTGTGTGAAACCAGTGAGAGAAGGAAACAGGTATCCTCCTCTGTGAGGAGAAAGTTGATCCTGGGTGTCTGCAGCACCTTGTTGGAGATGTGAGGTTTGCGGCAGAGGTGGCCATCTCTGCGGTGGTGCATTTCCAAGGTGCCATAGAGTTGGAATCATGCATTGTGAACCTTTCACTTGGCAGTAAATGGGTCAAGTTCCTCATGCTCTTGTGCTGAATATATTCTGTTGTCTGGGTACCCCACCTCCTGAAGGACCCTTGATTGGTTGCTTTGAATTTGGGCATTGTAAATAAAGCTGCTGTTAACATCTATGTGCAGGTGTTTGTGTGGACATAAATATTCTCTCCTTTAAGTGAAAACCAAGGAGCACACTTGCTGGATTGTTTGGTAGAAGTATGTTTAATTCTGTAAGGAGCTGCTAGATTGTCTTCCAAAGTGGCTGTGCTGTTTTGTATTCTCCCTACAGTGAGTATAAGCCCTACTGCCCCGTATCCTCTCCAGCACCTGGTGTGGTCAGCATCTTGTGTTTTAGTTGTCTTAGTAGATGCATCCTGATAGTGTGTTGTTTTAACTTGCATTTCCTTATGATAGGTGATCTAAAGCATCTTTTCTTGTGCTTAACCTCTTATCTTTGATCTTATTTGTTGAGAGGTATGTTAATATTATTGGCCCATTTTTTAATTAAGCTGTTTATTTTCTTTTTTCTCTTTCTTTCTTTTTTTTTGGGTACCAGGGATCGAACTGGGGTCCTTGCACTTGCAAGGCAGGTGGTGGAATCTCTGAGCTAAATCCCCGGCCTAAGCTGTTTATTTTCTTTGAATTTTGAGAGTTATTTGTAATGTTTGGTTAACCATCTTTCATCAGACATATCTTTCACAAATGTTTTCTTCCAGCCTGTGGCTCATCTCTTTGTCTTGACAATGTCTTCCATAGAGCAGATTTTTTTTTTAATTGAGTTTATTGGTACAATCTAGGTATACAATACAGTTACATTCATCATTGGGATTCTGTACCTTTACATAATAGGTCTTGATTCTCATTTTTTCCCCTTGTCCCTGCCCTCCCTTCACCCCCTCCTCCCCTCCCCATTTACAAACACTTTATTTCCATTTTTTCAGTTTCTCATATTTTTTTCCTCTCCCTTATTACCTTTCCCCCACCCTTCCCACTTTCCCTACACCTTTAGCCCTTTACTTCCTATTTCACATTATTAATTATCTCATTA